GATCACTCTTTGCCTGATGACAAGGAGTAAGTACCGTCTAAGTACTTTAGTCTCTTATAACACAAAAAGTAAATTCACAGAAAGTAATACTCAAGAGCCAATGTGCTCATCACTACAGAGGAGAGCTGGAAACAAAGGAAACTGGTTTGGTCCCGGCAAGATGGAGCTGTCCCAGTGCCCGCCTAGTGCTTCTCAGCAAGCAGATGTTCCTTTCCAAGCCACCACGAGGGGGCGGGACTTTACTGTCATAGGCAAGAACACAGGCTCACTCAATCGGTGAGAGGTCTGAATATTAGATTTAATTGCTGCAGAATTTAAGACTTTCTGATTTCATTCATTGGTGAGAATGATGGTAGAGCCGTGCTTTAACATCACAAAAGAAATGTAAACAGTTAAATACCCCAAACTAATGAATTAATTTCTCTTTACTGCTAGAGAAGAAAGTCTTATATTACTGAGAACGGTGGCTGATAATTCAAAAGAAAATACTTTTGACAAGAACTAAACATAACTTTTTATTTAAACAGGGATGAAAAAAATTTGCTTCTGGAAAAGGGGAAAAAATTACTTCGTCTGAATGCCAAATGGCTCCAGGCTAAGAAATTTTTTCAGCATCAGAATTGGGAGGAATATTCACATTCTGACCTCAGCTTGAAGAGTGAAAGCAGTGAGAAGGGACAAATTCTACCTTTGTTGATGTAGAATTGTGAAAAGTGATTTTTAAAGAATTTATATCAAAGGAAGGAAAGCAGCAATTAACAATTTATACAACAACAATGAAACCTATAAATAATGCTATTACTGTTCTTCAACAAACAAAGGGAAAAAAACGTTAAATAAATTTGTGGTTGTTATGTACCTTTCAGTTGGAATCTACTCATAGCTAACCCTCTAGCAAGTTTTCAGAGGCAGTAATTTGCATGGGAAGAGACTACCCGTATTTCTCCCTTGGACCATCTGGTGGATTTGAACTGTTGTCTTTGAGTTGGGAATAGAATATATCATTGTTGTTGTTCTTATGTGCCATTAAGTCACTTGCAACTCATAGTGACCCTATGTACAACAGCCCTAAACCATGCTCTGTCCTGCGCCAATCTCACAGTCTCTGACACACCCACCCCAATTACCTGAGTCACTGAATCAAACCATCTTGTAGAGGATTTTCCCCTCCTGTGCTGTCCCTCCACCCTCCCAAACATGACATCCTTCTCCAAGGACCGGTCCCTCCTTGCAACATGTAGTGCAGTTAAAATAGCCCTGCAAATGGAGGACAGCTATAGGGATTTCTCAGTCTTCCTTTGGTGAATGTTAAGGGGAAGAAGGTTGAGATTATCTACAGAACCACAAATTGGATTCTTTTGTTTTCTTTCTATTAGTGAGAATTACACAGATGAAGAAGAGTGAGTTTTCTTTAAATCATCAGAGGCCCATGAAAGAAGTTAAGGGTTCAACCGAGACATGTATATTCTCCCTTTGAACTAAGGCAGGATAGTTAATATTTTGAGATAAGTAGGAATGGGGATAAGAAGGGTGACATCAAAATGTCTAACATAGAACATTTTAAATGCAATTGTTTTAGCAGAACTGTATTTTTATAAAAATATCATTGCAGTTAATTACAACAGCAAAACTTATTTTGTGGAATATACTAAAAAACAAATTCGAGCCTCGAGCTGCAATACTTAAGGAGGCTATATTGATGCTTAAGGATCCAGGAAGTATTAAAAGAGAATGGTAAGGGTATAGAGTCTCTGTACCAAAAATAATCGGCTGATAAAGAAGAATTCCAAGAAACTGCATACGATCAAGAGGCAATGGTCATGAAGGAGGAAGTTCAGCTGCTCTGAAGGACTTGACAAAAAATGAACCCCCAGGAATTGATGAAATACCAGTTGACATTTTTCAATAAGCAGATGCTGCCCTGGATGTGCTCACCCAGTTATTCCAAGAAATCTGGAGGAAAATTGCTTGCTCATCTGACTGGAAGAGATCTGTATTTATTCCCATTCCAAAAAAAGCTGACATGACAGAGTGCAGAAATTACCATACAATATCACACGCAAGCAAAATTTTGCTGAAGATTACCCAGAAACGACCGGAACAGTAAATTGACAGAGAACTACCAGAAATACAAGCTGGGCTTTGAAGAGGTTGTGGCACTAGAGATCATATTACCAATGTCAAATGGTTCTTGGCAGAAAGCAAAGAGTACCAGAGGGATATCTATCTGTGATTCATTGACTATGCAAAGACATTTGACTGTGTAGATCACAACAACTTGTGGTTAACCTTGAGAAGAATGAGAATCCCAGGAAACTTAGTTGTGTTTATGTGAAATCCATACTTAGACCAGGAAGCAGTCCCTTTCCGGAATACTGAGAAGCAACAATGTTAGTCTAGAGACTAAGATGCACCAGATCCAGGTCATGGTCTTCATAATTACTTGCTATGCATCTGAGACCTGGACAATGACTAAGGATGACAGAAGAACAATTGACGCCTTTGAGTTGTAGGGCTGGAAAACAGTCTTGACAACCAAGCTTCTCCTTAGAGGCAAGTTTTGAAGCTACATCTCACATACTTTGGGTATGTGGCCAGGAGGGGCTGATCCTTGGAGAAGGACATCATGCTTGGAAGGGTGGAGGGACAGCACAGAAGAGGATGACTCTGAGTGAGATGTTTTGATACCATAAGTAGGGCAATGGGGGTAGGTGTGTCAGAGTCAGTGAGACTGGCTCAGGACAGGGCAGTCTTCAGAGCTGTTGTACACAGGGTCGCTATGAGTTGCAGGCAACTCAACGGCACATAATCACAGTTTACATGTATCAATATACCTACAAAGTAAAAGTTTTATACTTTTTTCCTTTTTGAACTTTCTAATATACTCAAATCAAAGCTGTCATTATTCACATATATTTGCACAGTTGTTTTCTTTGATCCTTGATTGTTTTTGTTACATTTTCTAGTGATTACTGTAAGAGTACAGTATTTGTGATGCTGTATCAGTAATTTCTGAGAATTTTTTAAAAGAAAAAGATTTTTGGAAAAAAGGCTTCTGCTATTACTAATAATGTTGTAATCCAATTCAAGGACACATACTTGCTGTTATTATTCATTATTATTTAAGAAATAACATAAGCAATCTGCAACTACATTTATTACATACTATTCAATAATTTAAAAGGATTATAAGTATTTTCTATGGTCCAGAATGGGAGAAGGTCCATGGGAAGGGGTGACACTAATCCTAATGACACACCTTTTGGTAATGACAGAGAATCTGGTTACAGACATGGGCAAACCTGGTCCTAAGTCACCTTAGAACCAAATAATTTAGTCACAGAGAGCAAGAATATGTTTGACAATGTTACAATACAGTAAAAAGTAAGGTACTTGTTATATGTTATATCACAGTATTTTTCACGTTGGGACCTTTTCCAGCTCTGACCACTGGCCAAACCCAAACTACTAGAAGGCAGGTAGGCTTGTTTGAGTTCTCCCTCCATTCCCCCAACCAAGTAACGTCACAGTCAGGGAACTGTTACCTGACATCTCCATACTAACTTGCCCCCAACATTGTTGTTGCTGTGTACTACAGGCATATTTTCAGAGGCAGTACATTGCACAGGAGGAGATTGCCCATCCTTCTCCTGCAGAGCAGCTGGTCAATTCTAACCATGAACCTTTGGGTTGACAGCACAATTCCTTGCCAGTAGGCCACCAGCTTCCTTCAAGAAACAATACTGTTTCCTCTGTGCCTTTCTTGTGCCATCCTCTTCACTTCTGATACACTTAAGCCCATTGCTGCACTGTGTCAATCCATTTTGTTGAGGGTCTTCCTTTCTTTCATGGACCCTCCACTTTCCAAGCATGATGTTCCTCTTTAAGTCTGCCTTGCCTAGGAACGTGCAACTGGAGTTCTGCTGGCCGAGTGGTATGAAGCTGTGCTGTAATCCCACAGGCATGAGGTTCAAATCCACCAGCTGTTTCTCAGAAAAACGACAGACGTTTCCTTCCATACTACTGCTTCTGAATCCTGGTCTTTTTTGTCTCCTTCTACTGCTCTTACTGCCTTTGAAAACCTGCTGGAGAGTCAGCAGTTACTTGGTCCTGACTCTGTGACACAGAACAGCAGCAACATGCCCAAAGTATGTGATGTGTGGGTCAATGCAAAGGTACAGTTTTATAATTTACCAATATCTCTATAAGAGAGAGATGGGCAATCTCTTCCTTTGCAATTTACTACCTCTAAAAACATGCTGAGGGTCAGCTATGGGTGGGTTCTGACACAAAAGTACATCAGAACAATCACCTCTGATTCAAGAAACGATTGTTGTTGTGTACTTTGGAGTCGGAAGAGACTCATAGGTGGCTCTCCAGCGGGTTATCAGAAGCAATAAACCGCACAGAAAGAGATAGTCCATCTTTTTTCTGGTGGATCAGCTGGTCCATTTGAACTGAGTGCCTTTCGTATAGCTTTCTAGAGCTGGCTAGAAACCATGTTGTTGTTGTTGTGTGCATGCAGTATTGCAACGCAGTTTCTTGCCACTAGGCCGCCTTGACTGCCAGAGCTCCCTAGCAGCCCTTAAATCAGAATCATTTCTACACGGGGAGCCTAGATAAGAGCTTGCTTATGATCAGATAGGGGGTTCAAGCCAGGGCAAAGCTGCAATAGCTTTGTGGGCGGAGCGTCCCGAGGCCCCGCCCCACAGGCTCCGCCCTGTTGGCCTCGGGCTGCATGTGACCACGGCCCCGCCTCCCGCCTGCTCTGCAACGCCAGCTCGGCAGGAGCGGGGCGTGAGTCTCCAGTGAGACCCGCCAGGCTCCAACTCGGCGGCGCCTGAGCTCTGCGGCCAGCAACTTTCTCCCCAGAGTGGCCGCGGCAGAGGCTGCTGCCGTGGCAGCCGGAGTCAAGAGGAGCAAGGCGGCGGCGGCGGCGGCAGCGGCGGCTGCTCCCGCTCCCGCCGGCTCGGGCTGTGCAGCCCTCCGAGATCGCCGGCCCGCGCAGCCTCGTCCCCCCGGGCAGCCCCGGGCCCCTGCCCTATGTCCCGCAAAGCGAGCGAGAATGTGGAGTACACGCTGCGGAGCCTGAGCAGCCTGATGGGCGAGCGGCGCAGGAAGCAGCAGGAGCCGGACGCGGCGAGCGCGGCTGGGGAGCGCAGCCTGCTGGCGGCCGCCGAGTCCACCAGCAGCCTGCAGAGCGGCGCGGGCGCGGGCGGCAGCGTCGGGGACCTGGAGCGCGCGGCGCGGCGGCAGTTCCAGCAGGACGAGACCCCCGCCTTCGTCTACGTGGTGGCCGTCTTCTCGGCGCTCGGCGGCTTCCTGTTCGGCTATGACACCGGGGTGGTGTCAGGGGCCATGCTGCTGCTCAAGCGACAGCTCAGCCTGGACGCGCTGTGGCAGGAGCTGCTCGTGTCCAGCACGGTGGGGGCGGCCGCCGTCTCGGCGCTGGCCGGGGGGGTCCTCAACGGCGTCTTCGGCCGCCGTGCCGCCATCCTCCTGGCCAGTGCCCTCTTCACCGCCGGCTCCGCGGTGCTGGCCGCGGCCAACAACAAGGAGACGCTGCTCGCCGGTCGCCTGGTCGTGGGACTCGGCATCGGTGAGTTGGGGTCCACGGAGGGCATGCCGGGGCCCCGACGTCACCGCCCTGGACCTTACTCACTGCTGTCCTCTCACTAGCGTTTAGCGTTCCCTTTCTCCCTTATCTAGTCTTCCAGGTCCCCAGTTCCCTCTAGTTTCCTCTGGAGAGCCTGCCTGGTGTTCCTCTGGCCCCTGGTCCCCTTGGGTGGGGTCCGCTGTAATCTCTCCAAGGCCCCGCGCACTGCTCAATTGACGCCCCCTGAGCAGTTCCAGAGACCTTTCTGATACCTAGGTTTGCCTTGAACCAGCCCTACCTGGTATCTCTCCTCCTCTTACTCTCTTTACTTTCCTGCCCTGCTCCACTTTTATTTTCCCTCTGCTGGCCTTTTCCGGGGTTCCCAACTCCACTCCCAGTAGCAAAGTCAGAGAATTTTCAGAATAAACACATAACTGCACTCTGAAACTGTTCTCTTGCCAGCTCTCCTTTCCAACGTAGCTCTTTCTTTTTATTAAGAGTATTATTTTCTCTTTTTGCTTTTCTTCTTTGTACTGTTTCTTATCTGGGCATCCTTTCCCCAAGTTATTTCCATTCTCCTATTTTTGTAACTTTTCTCTTTAGGTCCATTTTCACCCATTCTCCTCCTTGCCTCTACGCTTTGCTGTGGTTCCATTAAAATAGTGTTCACTTCCTAAATTCATTTAGGAGCGATTCCCCCTGTGGATGCATGCCCAGCAAGATAAATGTTTGCAATTTAAGTCAAAAAATGAAGGGATTACGGTTCCTCTGGCATTGATTTCTTCCACTCCCGTTGCTTGCTGGGCAGAGGAGGCAAGTTCTTGGCCAACGGAAGGTGCTCAGTATTATTAGAAAGAGCTTTTGAGGGCAAGTGAGGGCTTGAGACTTAGATTTCGCTAGTAGTTTTTCGAGACCTCTGATGCTTTTTGAAGGTTTCATTTCAGAATTCAGGGGTTGGCTTGTTTGTTTCGTGGCCGAGCTTGATGACAGCACTTCAAACCTTTGCCTCTTGATGATCTATCCATCCACCTCTCCTCTGTAGGGTTTTAGAAAGTGAGCCTCATTCATACAGCTCCACACACAGACACTATGAGCTTGAAATCCAGCTTCTAGTACTGAATCATTGCGCAGACTGGACTCTCAGTGACGAGTGCTGAGAGCTTTCTGCCCCAGAAGGGTCTTACAAGAGTATACTACTTCCGGGCCTTTTCTCAGCAGCTGCTGAGTGGGTTCCACCAGACCTTTTAGTTACCATCTGAGCCCCTGCATGCACTTTCTAGAAAATAAAACCAAAAAACGAAACCAAACTCATTTTGACTCATAAGTGATCCAGAGTCTAGCATTATTGATGCATGTGGATGAGTGAGTGGGTGGATGTGTGTTTGTCTGTCTGTATGTATCTGTTGTTCTGTTAATTAGTGAAGCAAGGCTTGGCTCATAATAAACTGTTAAATTTTCCATCCGAGTCTGAAATAACCAGAAGGTCCAGCTAAAGTGAAAACTCTATTAACAACCTGTGTCTTCAGGCCCTTTCAGAAAGCAACCTGGCGTTATAACCAGCTAATTATTAGCCTTCCCTGATTGAGACACCCAGACTATCTTTTGTGTTTTATTTTGTAACTTAAAAATAATTTTAGGAGCAGATCACTGAACTTTGTTGAGCATGAATGAGCCTTATTTGTAATTTTGAAATGAAATAATGTTTGAGGAAGATCTTTAATTGAAGTGGTGTTTACTTACCATCTGTATCAAGTATTTGAATATCACATTCACTTTGCTTTTTTTTTTTTTTTTACTGGACAGTTAGGCAATGTATCCCTCAAGATGTTGTAAGTAGAATGGTAAAGGAGAATTTATGCTCTGGTAGGGTGATAGATAAGGTGGGAGATAAAGCAAAGTAGAACCTGTTAGTTTTCTTCCCAGAGACTCGGGGCGAACCTGTTATTGTCTGAATCCATTTAATTTATAATGACTCTGTAGGACAAAGTAGAATTGTCCTGATAGGTTTCCAGATTTGTAAACCTTTTAGGAAGCAGATAGCCACCTCTTTCTCTTGAGGATTGGTTGGTGAATTTGAACCCCTGACATTTTAGTTAGTAGATGAGCACATAACTATTGAATCACTAGGCTGTCTTGGCCCAAGAATCAAAAGAAAAAATAAAACAAAAATCCAAGCTCACTCCACTGACAAGTTAATTCCAACTCAGGGTGACTCTCCATTAAATTTCCAAGGTTGTAAATCTTTGGGAGAGACTATAGTATCTTTCTCTCGGGGAGCTGCTTGTAGATTTGAACTATCAACCTTTTGGTTAGCAACCCAGAAGAGTAGGCTTTACACTACCAGGGCTCTTTGAAAGGTCTGATAGATTTAGAGGCACATACAACCCTCCCACAAAAGGAAGCCAGGACCTCTTTCTAGTGGAAATGCAATACTGATACATGACCTGGAGTCACTTCTGACTTGTGTATCAGAGCAGAACTGTGCTCTGTAGGGTTTTCTGTTGCTGATTTTTCATTTGACCCCCAGGGCTTTTCTCTGAGAACCTCTAGGTGAACTCCAGCCTTATCATCTCAGGGTGAGAGGGAAGATAGACACACCAAAAATAACCCGTTACAAAGTTTCATAAATACTTTTCCTTTATAAACTGAAGAATATTTTAAGATCAGAGTTTGAAATGGGATAGGTTAAAACAACAAAAACTTCTGCCCTTCTGGAAGGCTAAGAATATATTAGTGCCTGTTACCAGAAGGCAAGGGAAAAAAAGATTGTACCAGAATCTCATCTTTCATAGATCTTCAATTGAAATCACAAGGATTATTTTTTTCAGTTACAAGGAAATGGGTCTCATACATCAGTATTTTGGGAGGCGTTAAATCAGCTATGCTTGTTTAGTACAAAAGGTTGGAGGTTAAAAAACAGGCCAATTTCATGGTACCTTTATTTAAATAGTTACTTTAATGTGTGGTCATGGCTTTCTGTTGTTATTTTGATACTTAGTAAATGATTGGTGAATAATGGATATGTGTTTTATGATTTTTTTTTTCTTTCAGGCGAATTTACAGGATAACGTTTTTTATTCCTCCACTGATTCACGTAAGAGAAATATAAGGTCTACAGGGTTAGGGATTATTTATTTATTTTTGTTAAGTTTTGTTTGCTGGTAGCAGCACATCACATAGGAGGCTCTTATTGAATAAAAACAGCAGGAACAATAAAAATTATAATTTCATTATCCATGGGATGTCATTAGGAACTGTACTTAAAAGTAGGGCATTATAAAAATATTTGAAAGGCTTCCTTAGTGTTTTAGTTATCATAGTTTCATTAACATTTATTCATCTACTCAACAAATGTTAATAAGCACTTAGTATTGCTTTTGTTGTATTTGGTGGAGAAAACAATTAGATAAATAAAAATCTCATCTTTTTAACTTTAATTTGGCAGAAATGTGTACCAACAGCAATTAAGATACAATAGAGATCCTTTTAAAGTTCCAGTAAAGAAAGCGCAGAAGTCTTGCAAAGGAGAAGTACAGGTAAAAGGAATACTGAGTCCTTAGATGGTTGTAGAAGGTTGAAGTTTACATCTACCTTGAAATACCATGGAAGAAAAGCCTGGTGATCTGCTCCCAGCACCAGCAGCCTTATGCAGTACGTTGTGCTCTAAATGGCATTGCCAGTCAGAGTGGACTCAAAGACATCTGACAGAATATGGGGTAAAAGGGTTTTTAAAGAGAGAAATAAAAACTGAAGTTTAAGGCCTACATAGGAGCTCAACAAGTGATACAGAAAGGCCCAGAAAGGGAACTGTTATTCATTGCTTTGATGTCTACTGTGTTAGTTCTGAAGTGTGTCATAGCATTTAATCTCTAACACTGAGGAAGAGATACTATTGCCCTCTTTTGTTGAATGTGTAAACTAAGTATAAAATGGTTACATGGTAAGATCATTGGTGCAAAGTCAAGATTAAAAGCAACAACAGCTGGAAAGCAAAAGACTCTGTGCCTTAGAATGCTTTTTGCGCATTGTTAAAATGCTGTTTGCATTTAAAGTGAAGTTACAGGCAGGTATGTTGTTGTTAGGTGCTGTCGAGTGGAGTATAACTCACAGCCCACCTAGGGAATAGGTGACCTGAAACCTGCTGTATTCTGTACCACTCTTACCCTCTCTGAGATGCCAGAGCCCGTTGTTGAAGTCACCATGTCAGTCATAGTATTGGGGGGGGTCTTCCTATCCTTTGCGGACCCTCTGTCTACTGACGTTGCCATGGATTGCCAAAAGAACAAACAGGTATGTCCTGGAAAGGGTCCAGCTCCTTGAAGGCAGGGATGATACAGCTTTGTCTTTCATACTTTGGACATGTAGCTAAGCAAGGCTCTTTCTTGAATAAGGTATAAGGCCCAGAAAGAGGAAAGCAAAGTTTGAGGCATAAGGTGAGCAAGAGATGGCAGTTGACCCTGGAGAGTTTTGGGTGGTTAAAAGACCTATTTTAGCTTTTCAAGAAAATTAATGAAAAAAAAAAAATCACCAAAACCATTTTACAAAGAGAACTAGAGAAATTTTCCTTTTGGGTTTCTTTCTTTCTTTCTTTCTTTTTTTTGTTTTGTTACCTTAGTATAATTTTTCAGACAAAACAAGAACCAACCAACCAACCCAAAACTAGTGTAACAGCTGCTTCACTGGAGAAGATGTGCAGTTGCCTGCAGTGTGATTTTCTGCTTCTGAAAACCCACTGGAGGGTCAGCTATGAATCAGTTCTAACTCTTCATATACAGCAACAATGATAATTTAGAAGCTTAATGCTATTGAGTAGGCTGGATACTGCCCATGTTTCTGCTGCAAAGCTGCCGATGGATCACAAGCACTGGAGATGTGCAGCCTTCGGTTAGCAGTACAAGTCCCTATATTATGCCACTGTGCTTGGTGATAGCAAGAAGTCTCTGCATTCTAATATTCACCGATGTTCAAAGCCTTTACTGAGACTTAACCTACTAACTTATACA